GGTGGTCCCTGGGGTGTTGTGGTGGTCCCTGGGGTGTTGTGGTGGTCCCTGGGGTGTGGTGGTGGTCCCTGGGGTGTGGTGGTGGTCCCTGGGGTGTTGTGGTCCCTGGGATGTGGTGGTCCCTCTCAACTCTCCCCTCACACTCTCCCTCACCCCTCTCCCTCACCCCTCTCCCTCGCACCAATCCCTCACACCTCTCCCTCACACCTCTCCCTCACTCCTCTCCCTCACAAGTTATGGTCAGGGTTAGGAAAGAATTTCTGTTTGACACGCGACACAAATTCTCTGAACACGTCACCAAAATTGACGCAAAATATGTTTCATGTCTTATTTATGAATGAATTTGTTCGTGAAGTGTAATTATCCCCCTGCTTATACCTTGCTTCCCCTGGTGAGTCCCCTGCTGTGTTTTCTGTCCCTGGTGAGTCCCCTGCCCCTGGTGAGTCCCCTGCTGTGTTTTCTGTCCCTGGTGAGTCCCCTGCCCCTGGTGAGTCCCCTGCTGTGTTTTCTGTCCCTGGTGAGTCCCCTGGTGAGTCTCCTGCTGTGTTTTCTGTCCCTGGTGAGTCCCCTGGTGAGTCTCCTGCTGTGTTTTCTGTCCCTGGTGAGTCCCCTGGTGAGTCCCCTCCTGTGTTTTCTGTCCCTGGTGAGTCCCATCTGCAGCGTTTTGTGCCAGTTTAACCAACAGTAAACTGTTGGTCTCAATCAACCAACAGTAAACTGTTGGTTGATTCTTTCCTAATTGCTTGTCTTATGTCTGCTTCTTGTTAGTCATTCCTGGTTATGACTTCCAAACACACTTCCTTGGTCGTCTCTTTCTCTTTTACAACTTACGTATACGTCTCTTTAATTTCCTCTTTGTACTTTTCTAGTTCCTTATTAACCTTCTCTATATGAGTTGTCCATCTTGAGATGATGATTTTGGGGCTTTTAGTGTCCTCGCGGCCCGGTCCTCGACCAGGCCTCCACCCCCAGGAAGCAGCCCGTGACAGCTAACACCCAGGTACCTATTTTACTGCTAGGTAACAGGGGCATAGGGTGAAAGAAACTCTGCCCATTGTTTCTCGCCGGCGCCTGGGATTGAACCCAGGACCACAGGATCACAAGTCCCGCGTGCTGTCCGCTCGGCCGACCGGCTCCCCTTCCATGACGTTTCTCTTTGCATATCCTTACCTAACTCCATATTGGTCATTAGCGTTTGTTGGAGTTGTTCACTACATGAATATTTCCTTGTTAATTTCGTCAAACTCACCACTCTTCACTTCCCATACCTCATTTTCTTCCTATCACTACTTCCTTGATTTGTTCCTCCTGAATCTTTACCTTGTCCGTTAAGGCGGTAATTGTCTTATCTTGCTGAAGAATACTTCCTTTGAGAGTGCGAGACTCACTCCTGAGAACTCCATTTTCTTCTTTTAATTCAATTACTTTTCCTTCCAACTTCTTTAGCATGTCCTCAGTTATCTCTAACCTGCCAAGAACACCACCTTTTATTATATCTTGTGGTGAGAATCCTTGGAAACAATCATCTGTTGGTGTGTTTACCTTCTCCATGGAGGCCGCCATCTTTGTTATTGACGGTCGTTTGTTCTCAACCGTCAATCAACTGGTGTACAGGTTCCTGAGCCTACTGGGCTCTATCATATCTACACTTGAAACTGTGTATGGAGTCAGCCTCCACCACATCACTTCCTAATGCATTCCATTTGTCAACCACTCTGACACTAAAAAAGTTCTTTCTAATATCTCTGTGGCTCATTTGGGCACTCAGTTTCCACCTGTGTCCCCTAGTGCGTCTGCCCCTTGTGTTAAATAGCCCGTCTTTATCTACCCTATCAATTCCCTTGAGAATCTTGAATGTGGTGATCATGTCCCCCCCTAACTCTTCTGTCTTCTGAGTAGTGTGTGTGTGTGCGCTATAGAGCATGCACAAGCATCAGGCGTGGCCGTCTACCGTACCCAAGAGGAAGAGGGAAGAAGACGACACCAGAGAGACAGACAGACAGACAGACAGACAGACAGACAGACAGACAAACAAACAGACAGACAGACAGACAGACAGACAGACAGACAGACAGACAGACCACACGCTCGCAAACACCAAAACATCAGATTAATATTTGTTTGAAAATATTTTCTCCCCGCCCGAGAATTCACAGCAGTCAAAAATGTCTAGAAAAGGTTTGGCAACAAGTAATTAAACCAGAGAGAGAGAGAGAGAGAGAGAGAGAGAGAGAGAGAGAGAGAGAGAGAGAGAGAGAGAGAGAGAGAGAGAGAGAGAGAGAGAGAGAGAGAGAGAGAGAGAGAGAGAGAGAGAGAGAGAGAGAGAGAGAGACAGAGACAGAGAGAGAGAGAGACAGAGAGACAGACAGAGACAGAGACAGAGACAGAGAGAAAGAGAGAAAGAGAGAGAGAGAGAGAGAGAGAGAGAGAGAGAGAGAGAGAGAGAGAGAGAGAGAGAGAGAGAGAGAGAGAGAGAGAGAGAGAGAGAGAGAGAGAGAGAGAGAGAGAGAGAGAGAGAGAGACAGACAGACAGACAGAGACAGAGACATAGAGACAAATAGAGAGACAGAGAGACAAATAGAGAGCCAGAGACAGAGACAGAGACAGAGACAGACAGAGAGACAGACAGCCAGAGAGACAAACAAATGAAGAAAATATAAATCACAAAATGGAGTAAATAATAAAATTAAATAAATGGAAGATATAACATGGCGAAAGGAATAATGGATAAGAGATAATAGGAAGGGAGAACTATGGAGGGAATGAGGGAGGTAGGAGGGAAGGAGAGGAAGGCTGAGAGGGAGGCAGAAACAGGAAGACAAGAGGGCTAAAAAACTAGCAGAAGGGAGGACGGAAGAGGGTGAGGAGGAGTAGAGGTAGAGGAGGGGGAGGAGTAGAGGTAGAGGTAGAGGTAGAGAGGGGGAGGAGTAGAGGTAGAGGTAGAGGCAGCATACATAAGCAACATATTGCTTCATGTGTCCTTTAAAGAGGAACGCTGTAGCTAGAGTAACTTCCGCCTCTCTCTCTCTCTCCCTCTCTGTCTCTCTCTCTCTCTCTCTCATCTCTCCTCTCTGTCTCTCTCTCTCTCTCTCTCTCTCTCTCTCTCTCTCTCTCTCTCTCTCTCTCTCTCTCTCTCTCTCTCTCTCTCTCTCTCTCTCTCTCTCATGAACTTTACAAATTGTTCCCTTTCGTGTCCACTAACACTATGGCTGATCTCTCATTATCATTATTTTGTATAGTTGTAGTTAATATAGAGTGTCGCGGCCTTTACAGTATATACGAACTGTAGTTAGTTGCTCTATTTTGTGTGTGAGAGCAACTGCAAGTGAGAGCAAATTGGCGACCAAGAGTTCGAGAGTTGGCGAAGATGGCCCCATTCTAGAGACACTGTGAGCCATGCGTCTGCATGCATCACCCAGTCAGATTACAGCAAGGTTTCCTCAGCCAATCATAAACGAGGATGTAGCCTGAGGGTGTCACGTGACGCATCAGCTCACAGGACGTCGCTGAGACGACCAGTGTCCTGGTAAGGTAAGGGGGGGGGGGGCGGGCACAGTCCTCAGTCTGGTGGTGGCCACATGTGTGGCTCCGGGCTCCAGTTGTTGTGGTGTGCTTCACAGTCTTACGGATCAGAAAGTCTCTTAGAATATACGGAGTGAGGCAACGGTCGTAGACTGGTTTAGGGGTCGTAGACTGGAGGCAGCGGTCGTAGACTAGTTTAGGGCTCGTAGACTGGAGGCAGCGGTCGTAGACTAGTTTAGGGGTCGTAGACTGGAGGCAGCGGTCGTAGACTGGTTTAGGGGTCGTAGACTGGAGGCAGCGGTCGTAGACTAGTTTAGGGGTCGTAGACTGGAGGCAGCGGTCGTAGACTAGTTTAGGGGTCGTAGACTGGAGGCAGCGGTCGTAGACTAGTTTAGGGGTCGTAGACTGGAGGCAGCGGTCGTAGACTGGTTTAGGGGTCGTAGACTGACGGCAGCGGTCGTAGACTGGTTTAGGGGTCGTAGACTGGAGGCCGTGGTCGTAGACTGGTTTAGGGGTCGTAGACTGGAGGCCGCGGTCGTAGACTGGTTTAGGGGTCGTAGACTGGAGGCCGTGGTCGTAGACTGGAGGCCGTGGTCGTAGACTGGTTTAGGGGTCGTAGACTGGAGGCCGCGGTCGTAGACTGGAGGCAGCGGTCGTAGACTGGTTTAGGGGTCGTAGACTGGAGGCAGGTTTGGTGTGATATCAACTCCTAGATCTTTCTCTCTGTCTTTTTCATTAAGTACTTCATCTCCTATTCTGTATCCTGTGTCTGGCCTCCTGTTTCCACCGCCTAGTTTCATAACTTTGCATTTACTCGGGTTGAACTTGAGCCACCATTTGTGTGTACTCACCTAATTGTACTCACCTAATTGTGCTTGCGGGGGTTGAGCTTTGGCTCTTTGGTCCCGCCTCTCAACTGTCAATCAACTGTGTGTGTGTGTGTGTGTGTGTGTGTGTGTGTGTGTGTGTGTGTGTGTGTGTGTGTGTGTGTGTGTGTGTGTGTGTGTGTGTGTGTGTGTGTGTGTGCGTGCAGCTTCCCTTGGTAAAAGATAAGGAGACGAGGAAACTTCTTCAGTCTTGTCAGACAATTATGAAGGCTGAGAGAGATAAGACTTTTGCAGTCATTTTACCAGGAAGGCTGATGGGGGGGGGTCATGGGTGTGGGTGTGAGGGTAGGGAAGTGTGGGTGTGAGAGGGGGAAGTGTGGGTGTGAGAGGGGGAAGTGAGGGGGGTTATGGGTGTGAGGGTGGGCAAGTGGGGGCAAAGTTATCACCTAAAGTCAAATTATCTTCCTCAAACCAATTCTAACATACAAGTATACACCAAAAAAAAATTGCTACAAAAAATATAAATATGCACATAGCAGCCTCTTCCCTCAAACAACACATATGAGTCTATCCACATAAACAACACAATCAAAACAACTATATCATTGCCTGCACATACAATAAGAGAATGAGGCACCAATGCACATACACATGGTCAACACAGCCCTGTGTGTTGTAATGTAAACACCCGCCAAATTAGTCCTAACAGCAAAGGCCAAACTCCGACACGTGTGAATATAAATTAATATTATCATAAAAACATTAATAAACAACTATCTTAAGATAGTTGTTTATTAACTAATTAATTTATTAGTTGTTTATTAATAATTATTAACAATTATTATTATTGTTTATTAATCCTGGAAACACAGCCCGTAACTGTCTCTATTTTCTGCTTGTTACGACTTGTAATAAAGTTGTTACATCTTGGCTTGACGTGTTTACGACGTATTAGAACGTTGTTACAACTTGCTATATTGGTTGTTATAACTGGTTAGGAGGTGTTAAAGCTTGTTCGAACGTTGTAGCAACGTCGTAGTTTCGGTGTGTGTTTGGCGATAGTCCCAACGGGTAACTACCGGCTCGAAGGACTCCATCGCTCATGTAATGAGTCATTTCTCTTAACTGTTTTTCTTTAATATAAAATTCCACATAAATACAAATAAAAGGCAAAGTATAGAAGCACCAACACAGTCACAAACACCTCAGGATACAACACCTCAGGATACAACACCTCAGGACACAACACCTCAGGACACAACACCTCAGGACACAACACCTCAGGACACAACACCTCAGGCCACAACACCTCAGGACACAACACCTCAGGACACAACACCTCAGGACACAACACCTCAGGACACAACACCTCAGGCCACAACACCTCAGGACACAACACCTCAGGACACAACACCTCAGGACACAACACCTCAGGACACAACACCTCAGGACACAACACCTCAGGACACAACACCTCAGGACACAACACCTCAGGACACAACACCTCAGGACACAACACCTCAGGACACAACACCTCAGGACACAACACCTCAGGACACAACACCTCAGGACACAACACCTCAGGACACAACACCTCAGGACACAACACCTCAGGACACAACACCTCAGGATACAACACCTCAGGACACAACACCTCAGGACACAACACCTCAGGACACAACACCTCAGGACACAACACCTCAGGACACAACACCTCAGGACACAACACCTCAGGACACAACACCTCAGGACACAACACCTCAGGACACAACACCTCAGGACACAACACCTCAGGATACAACACCTCAGGATACAACACCTCAGGATACAACACCTCAGGACACAACACCTCAGGATACAACACCTCAGGACACAACACCTCAGGACACAACACCTCAGGATACAACACCTCAGGACACAACACCGCAGGACACAACACCTCAGGATACAACACCTCAGGACACAACACCTCAGGATACAACACCTCAGGACACAACACCTCAGGATACAACACCTCAGGATACAACACCTCAGGACACAACACCTCAGGACACAACACCTCAGGATACAACACCGCAGGATACAACACCGCAGGACACAACACCTCAGGACACAACACCTCAGGATACAACACCTCAGGATACAACACCTCAGGATACACAACACCTCAGGATACAACACCTCAGGATACAACACCTCAGGACACAACACCGCAGGACACAACACCTCAGGACACAACACCTCAGGATACAACACCTCAGGACACAACACCTCAGGAGGAACACCGCAGGACACAACACCTCAGGATACAACACCTCAGGACACAACACCTCAGGATACAACACCTCAGGACACAACACCTCAGGACACAACACCTCAGGATACAACACCTCAGGATACAACACCTCAGGACACAACACCTCAGGATACAACACCTCAGGATACAACACCTCAGGATACAACACCTCAGGATACAACACCTAAGGATACAACACCTCAGGATACAACACCTCAGGATACAACACCTCAGGACACAACACCTCAGGATACAACACCTCAGGATACAACACCTCAGGACACAACACCTCAGGATACAACACCTCAGGACACAACACCTCAGGATACAACACCTCAGGACACAACACCTCAGGACACAACACCTCAGGATACAACACCTCAGGACACAACACCTCAGGACACAACACCTCAGGATACAACACCTCAGGATACAACACCTCAGGACACAACACCTCAGGACACAACACCTCAGGATACAACACCTCAGGACACAACACCTCAGGATACAACACCTCAGGACACAACACCTCAGGACACAACACCTCAGGACACAACACCTCAGGATACAACACCTCAGGATACAACACCTCAGGATACAACACCTCAGGACACAACACCTCAGGACACAACACCTCAGGATACAACACCTCAGGACACAACACCTCAGGACACAACACCTCAGGATACAACACCTCAGGATACAACACCTCAGGATACAACACCTCAGGACACAACACCTCAGGACACAACACCTCAGGATACAACACCTCAGGATACAACACCTCAGGATACAACACCTCAGGATACAACACCTCAGGACACAACACCTCAGGACACAACACCTCAGGATACAACACCTCAGGACACAACACCTCAGGACACAACACCTCAGGATACAACACCTCAGGATACAACACCTCAGGACACAACACCTCAGGATACAACACCTCAGGACACAACACCTCAGGATACAACACCTCAGGATACAACACCTCAGAACACAACACCTCAGGATACAACACCTCAGGATACAACACCTCAGGACACAACACCTCAGGACACAACACCTCAGGACACAACACCTCAGGATACAACACCTCAGGATACAACACCTCAGGATACAACACCTCAGGACACAACACCTCAGGATACAACACCTCAGGATACAACACCTCAGGACACAACACCTCAGGATACAACACCTCAGGATACAACACCTCAGGATACAACACCTCAGGATACAACACCTCAGGATACAACACCTCAGGATACAACACCTCAGGATACAACACCTCAGGATACAAAACCTCAGGACACAACACCTCAGGACACAACACCTCAGGACACAACACCTCAGGACACAACACCTCAGGATACAACACCTCAGGATACAACACCTCAGGACACAACACCTCAGGACACAACACCTCAGGATACAACACCTCAGGACACAACACCTCAGGACACAACACCTCAGGATACAACACCTCAGGATACAACGCCTCAGGACACAACACCTCAGGACACAACACCTCAGGATACAACACCTCAGGACACAACACCTCAGGACACAACACCTCAGGATACAACACCTCAGGACACAACACCTCAGGATACAACACCTCAGGATACAACACCTCAGGATACAACACCTCAGGACACAACACCTCAGGACACAACACCTCAGGATACAACACCTCAGGACACAACACCTCAGGATACAACACCTCAGGACACAACACCTCAGGATACAACACCTCAGGACACAACACCTCAGGACACAACACCTCAGGATACAACACCTCAGGACACAACACCTCAGGATACAACACCTCAGGATACAACACCTCAGGACACAACACCTCAGGATACAACACCTCAGGATACAACACCTCAGGATACAACACCAACACAGTCACAAACACCTCAGGATACAACACCTCAGGATACAACACCTCAGGATACAACACCTCAGGATACAACACCTCAGGATACAACACCTCAGGACACAACACCTCAGGATACAACACCTCAGGATACAACACCTCAGGACACAACACCTCAGGATACAACACCTCAGGACACAACACCTCAGGACACAACACCTCAGGACACAACACCTCAGGATACAACACCTCAGGATACAACACCTCAGGATACAACACCTCAGGATACAACACCTCAGGACACAACACCTCAGGACACAACACCTCAGGATACAACACCTCAGGACACAACACCTCAGGACACAACACCTCAGGATACAACACCTCAGGATACAACACCTCAGGATACAACACCTCAGGACACAACACCTCAGGACACAACACCTCAGGATACAACACCTCAGGATACAACACCTCAGGATACAACACCTCAGGATACAACACCTCAGGATACAACACCTCAGGACACAACACCTCAGGATACAACACCTCAGGATACAACACCTCAGGACACAACACCTCAGGACACAACACCTCAGGATACAACACCTCAGGACACAACACCTCAGGACACAACACCTCAGGATACAACACCTCAGGATACAACACCTCAGGACACAACACCTCAGGATACAACACCTCAGGATACAACACCTCAGGACACAACACCTCAGGATACAACACCTCAGGATACAACACCTCAGGATACAACACCTCAGGATACAACACCTCAGGATACAACACCTCAGGATACAACACCAACACAGTAACAAACACCTCAGGATACAACACCTCAGGATACAACACCTCAGGATACAACACCAACACAGTAACAAACACCTCAGGATACAACACCTCAGGACACAACACCTCAGGATACAACACCTCAGGATACAACACCTCAGGATACAACACCTCAGGATACAACACCTCAGGACACAACACCTCAGGATACAACACCTCAGGATACAACACCTCAGGATACAACACCTCAGGATACAACACCTCAGGACACAACACCTCAGGATACAACACCTCAGGACACAACACCTCAGGACACAACACCTCAGGACACAACACCTCAGGACACAACACCTCAGGATACAACACCTCAGGATACAACACCTCAGGATACAACACCTCAGGATACAACACCTCAGGACACAACACCTCAGGATACAACACCTCAGGATACAACACCTCAGGACACAACACCTCAGGACACAACACCTCAGGATACAACACCTCAGGATACAACACCTCAGGACACAACACCTCAGGATACAACACCTCAGGACACAACACCTCAGGATACAACACCTCAGGACACAACACCTCAGGACACAACACCTCAGGATACAACACCTCAGGATACAACACCTCAGGATACAACACCTCAGGATACAACACCTCAGGATACAACACCTCAGGATACAACACCTCAGGATACAACACCTCAGGATACAACACAAACAACACAGCAACATACCAATACAAAACATACACAACAAACCAAGACATACAAATATAACACCATGGAAATACCAACACACGAACCTGGGCAGAGTACGGATAGAAGGGGAGCAGGACCACACTAGTGAAGGCACTAGTGAAGGAACTAGTGAAGGAACTAGTGAAGGCACTAGTGAAGGAACTAGTGAAGGCACTAGTGAAGGAACTAGTGAAAGCACTAGTGAAGGCACTAGTGAAGGAACTAGTGAAAGCACTATAGAAGGCACTAGTGAAGGCACTAGTGAAGGCACTAGTGAAGGAACTAGTGAAAGCACTAGTGAAGGCACTAGTGAAGGCACTAGTGAAGGAACTAGTGAAAGCACTAGTGAAGGCACTAGTGAAGGCACTAGTGAAGGCACTAGTGAAGGCACTAGTGAAGGCACTAGTGAAGGAACTAGTGAAAGCACTAGTGAAGGCACTAGTGAAGGCACTAGTGAAAGCACTAGTGAAGGCACTAGTGAAGGAACTAGTGAAGGAACTAGTGAAGGAACTAGTGAAGGAACTAGTGAAGGAACTAGTGAAGGAACTAGTGAAGGCACTATTGAAGGCACTAGTGAAGGAACTAGTGAAAGTACTAGTGAAAGTACTAGTGAAGGCACTAGTGAAGGCACTAGTGAAGGCACTAGTGAAGGAACTAGTGAAAGCACTAGTGAAGGCACTAGTGAAGGCACTAGTGAAGGAACTAGTGAAAGCACTAGTGAAGGCACTAGTGAAGGCACTAGTGAAGGCACTAGTGAAGGCACTAGTGAAGGCACTAGTGAAGGCACTAGTGAAAGCACTAGTGAAGGCACTAGTGAAGGAACTAGTGAAAGTACTAGTGAAAGCACTATAGAAGGCACTAGTGAAGGCACTAGTGAAGGCACTAGTGAAGGAACTAGTGAAAGTACTAGTGAAGGCACTAGTGAAGGCACTATAGAAGGCACTAGTGAAGGCACTAGTGAAGGCACTAGTGAAGGCACTAGTGAAGGCACTAGTGAAGGCACTAGTGAAGGCACTATAGAAGGTACTAGTGAAGGCACTGCAAAGACAGTACCAGGAACACTCAACAAGTATATACAGCATACACAACATACATAAAATAAACACACACACACACAGGCCCTCAACAGAGGCCGGTACCACTACCACACCTAGAAAATACAAGGACAATATAACACAAAATAAGTTCCAACAAAGGAAAACTGACAGACAAAACACACAGAAAGACATGGGAAAAATATAACGGAAAAAGAAAACACATATAACACACACATTAAGCCTCAACAAGGGGAACCGTAAAAAAAACAAAACAAACAGTATGACAAAGATAAAATAAAACAACTAGCAGCGGTCATTGGACACACACACACACACACACACACACACACACACACACACACACACACACACACACACACACACACACACACAGAATGAACACATTCCAAAGTCAGAAATGCACCACGCACACACAGCTTAGTCTAATCAAGAAGGGGAGACACCTCCGCCCCTCGCAAGAGGACACACACACACGCAATATAACAAGAAACCACACACCACCAACACACAAGACATACAAAGCAAGCACACACACACACACACACACACTCCCAGAAGTGGCTCCCAGAACTGAAGGGCAAGAGCTACGAGGAGAGGTTAGAGGCATTAAATATGCCAAAACTAGAAGACAGAAGAAAAAGAGGTGATATGATCACTACATACAAAATAGTAACAGTAATTGATAAAATCGACAGGGAAGATTTCCTGAGACCTGGAACTTTAAGAACAAGAGGTCAAAGATATAAACTAGCTAAACACAGATGCCAAAGAAATATAAGAAAATTCACTTTCGCAAACAGAGTGGTAGACGGTTGGAACAAGTTAGGTGAGAAGGTGGTGGAGGCCAAGACCGTCAGTAGTTTCAAAGCGTTATATGACAAAGAGTGCTGGGAAGACGGGACACCACGAGCGTAGCTCTCATCCTGTAACTACACTTAGGTAATTACACTTAGGTAATTACACGCCAGCTCAAGCGGAGTCACAGCTCCAGAAATCAAGTCTATCCGGGCGGCGGCCACCCAGACGGTGATGGAGTATTACTCACACCGGGAAACACTAGCTCAACCCTGGATAGTCGAGGGGGTGGCAGAAGGGGGAGTCCCTTGGGGTAAGGGGCGACAGGGCCCTTCTTCAAAACCAAACACAATTCACGGCCATCGTCAGCAGTCGGAACAACCCGCCACCTCGAGGGCCGAGGTGTCTCAAGTTAATTCTCTGATTCATTAAGGTTACACAGCAAGCTGACAGTGCTTTATTTTCTGATATTGCTGTGATGACATTAGCACCGGCAGATGCTGTCTCCAAAGACAATTAACTATTTTTTCGAGTGAAGTATCAAATCCAGAATTCGTCTGGCTTTATCTGTCCTTGTGGTGGTCCTGACTTTACTGCTCCTTTATTTATCATTCTGACATGTCCTCTTTTTGGTCATAAGACGAGGTCCAAGGCCAGCACACCCAGGCAACACCAGGGCACCTCACCACTGGCAACACCCGGGCCAGTGCTGCCGACTGAGGTCTTAGCCCTTCCCAACACCACAGGAAGCCCTCCCGCTACTCTCAAAGCAACATGGGGTCGACCCGTTGCTTAGGACCTCGTCTGGAAATGTTCCGAACTCATTATGCTCAGTTCGGAGAGATGCTTCAAAGGTGAGAGCTAAGGTCATAAAGACCTTATGAAGGTCAGCAGGCGAGTGATTCTTATTGTGGCAGGTTGCAGGCGAGTGTCGGATGGACCAACAGGGGTCCAGGATACAGAGGGGTGTGTCTATGGACCTCGCCTCTCATTGGTTGAAAATCCTGCTCTAATTTTGCAAGTGATGCCACGATCACCATTCTTTCGGGTGGTGTCTTGTTCTGGAATGTTCTATGGTGATAATCCTTCTCACTATGTTTGGATTATTAATGCATGCTTCTTCTTAGGCATCATCATTTAATATGCGGATCTCTGGGCTCTAATAATTAATATTTACTTTGTTTGCTTCTAGACGCGGGCTGGGAGGGGTACGACCCCTCAGAGGGTTGTCAAACAAGTGCAGATGGGTATAGGGCACCGGAAGTGTTCATATTAGTGTGGGAGTACGAGGCCAGAGTGGGAGTAGCAGGTATATTTGGGAGAGGTCATTAAGCGTGGGAGCGCCAGATGACTGGGAGAGTATATCCCAGTGCCTAAGAGTAGCAGATAAGGCTGGCAGACTCCTGGGTGCCAGCACCTTCACTACTCACTTCCCCTGCGAGATGACACGTATTTCCTCAGGTCATGACATTCTGTCAGTCTTTATCACTAGTCACGGGGCGGAGACGCTGCCTCTCATCTGTCCCTCTGTGTTCTGTCACCATTCATTTCATTTCATTTAATTTCTTTATTATGCACCCCATACCCATACCGTGGGCGGTGGTGTAAAGGGTTACAGAGGCACATAATCGGTTCAGGAACTGAACCCTCTAGTTTAGCTAAGCAAATAACAATCTTTTGACGTTAGTTACACAATTATTAATGTTATATATACATGTACACATACTCATATATACATGTACATATATTATTAAATATGACCGAAAAAGTAAGATTAATAATTCTAACCCGAATTTTCTCAATATTTCTTATGTTTCTTTTCACTGTCGATGGTAATTGAAAAATCAATTCTCCAAAATTCATTTTTATTTCTAGTCTGACGCGACATTTGAACGCGTTTCGTAATAACTTATTACATTTTCAAAGACTTTAGTTTACACACATACAACTATAACCTGCAAACACTAAACAGAGTTTAAACAGCTTTCATTTTATATACCTGCATTTGGGTGAGGTGATATGTTACAACAGTTCTGGATGAGGTGAAAACAAACTTTCAACACAAGACAGAACACGAAACAATGGGTATAATATTGGGTAAGTTAAAGGGAAGAATGGAAGTAACTGCAAAGGGCCTATTGGCCCATATTTCTTGATGCTTCTATATTGGTGCGGAGTCTTGAAGTGGGTAGAATATAGTTGTGCATTAATTGGTTGTTGATTGCTGGTGTTGACTTCTTAATGTGTAGTGCCTCGCAGATATCAAGCCGCCTGCTATCGCTGTATCTATCGATGATTTCCGTATTTTTTGTTAAGACTTCTCTGGTGATGGTCTGGTTGTGGGAAGAGATTATATGTTCCTTAATGGAGTCCTGTTGCTTATGCATCGTTAATCGCCTGGAAAGAGATGTTGTCTTGCCTATATACTGAGTTCTTTGAGGCTTACAGTCCCCAAGTGGGCATTGTTATATATACATGTCCAAGTGCCACAACCAGACCATCACCAAAGTCTCCGAAATTTAGTTGATGTTCCTGGGATATTGCTGCCCTCAGGCTGCTCAAAGGCAGTCCAGGTTGGTAATCAATTCCTTCTTTACGAGCAAAAGTCTTGGCCAACTCATCAGTTCTATCATGCATTCGGAGACCAATATGGGAAGGAATCCACAGAAGACAAACTCTTACTCCATCATTGATTATTTCATTATATCTATGTCTAGCTTCATAGATAAGCACGTCACAGTTATGCCTTAGGGAGCTGAGGGCAGTCAAGGATGTCAAGAAGTCACTTACAATTAGCGTGTCAACTTTGGATTCATATACGCGCTCGAGTGCAAGGATTATGACAACCAATTCTGTTTGAAGAGTGGAGGCCCAGTTACTTAGACGCGCTCTACACTCATGGGAGAAGGAACCATCTCTCCCTGTCACAACTGCACTTCCAGCTGCACCATAGGATTGATGCAAGGATCTATCAGAGTCTGATAGATCTGGGAAAGGGAGCGCTCTCTAACTAAAGCATCAATTTGGCTTAAGGCATTGTACTTTGCTTCTTGTCGCAGCAAGGCTTGTTCTTTAATCAGCTTCTTGGGTGGGAAAGGGGGACAGTAATTTGGAAAGGAGTGATCTCCCATGGGACAGGAAAGTGTTGTTGTTGTCTCTCTTGGAGGAGGTGATGAATATTACCGTCACGTTTTTTGTCACTGTTCCTGTTTTGTCTCTGTTTGTTTCTTTCTATCTCTGTAAGTCTGTGTAGCATTCTGCCTGTGAGTCTGTTAGTGTCTGGCTGGGTCATTCTGCATCTGCCTGTATATTTGACTTTTTACCTAACGTTTTTAGTCAACCATCTGTGTATCTACGTAGTAACTAGATACCAGGGACACACACACACACACACACACACACACACACACACACACACACACACACACACACACACACAAACATACACACACACACACCAAATGTATCTCAAGAGGCTCATGTAAACTGAATAAGGTCAGCTGCATACGCTATATTAGCAGAAGTCGAAAGGTCACTGTATACCGCCTATGTGAGGCCAGTCTTGGAGTATGAGGCCCCATAGTCGAGCCCCATCTTAAAAAAATAACATAATGAAGCTAGTAAAGGAGCAGACGTTTGCCACAAGACTCGTCCCAGAATTGCGAGGGATAAGGTGTGAGGAGAGACTGAAGGAACTAAACCTGACGACGCTGGAAAGTGGGAGGGAGAGACATGATATAGTCGTATGAAATACTTAGGTTATTGATAGAGTGGAAAAAGATGTGTCATGAAGATGCCTAAGAGTAGGAACTAGAATGAACTAACGGAGCAGGTTGTAGACTCAAACTCCATTCACAACTTTAAAAGCAGCTATGATGGTGAAAATAGGTCAAGAATCATTACACTAGACAGAAGACTAGGGGCCCAGGAGCTGGGTCCTGCAGGCACAGATAGGCCAGCACACACACACACACACACACACACACACACACACACACACACACACACACACACACACACACACACACACACACACACACACACACACACACACACACATGCACATCTAAAGCGTTAATCCATCAATTAATAAAAAAAACTGTGAACATGTAAACCAAAATAATTACATCAATCCTCCGTGTCAAAATGGCTGAGCACGATTACGTAATTGATGGAACACAAATTGGGATTGTGATGGATTATTACTACAGTTTAATCCCCCCTCGCCGCTCCATTTTCTATGTGTGTGATGACGCTAACATTTAAAGGCGATAATAGACCCATCATTTTGATGATTTAAATTCTTTGAATTTGACTCTGTAAACAGTACCATGCGTGGTACAAATATATACAATATGGCTAGAATGATAATACATATTAAGAGGATAGATAAAAACAGACTAACCATTTTGACAACAAATATCACTTGGGCACTAAGCTGGTGAACAATATGGTATATATATTTATTTATATATGTTCCATTAAACGGGAAATAACGAAAAAGGTTGAAAATTAGCAAAAAATTACAATAAGGGCATAAGCCCTGCGAGAGGACAGGTGCTAATTAGACCTCCTGGGACCTCCTGGGACCTCCTGGGACCTCCTGGGACCCAGCCACCACTTGTAGCTTCCATGGACCCTAATTTTGACGTAACAAAAATTAATTAGCTTATAAAAGTATGTTTGTTACTAAATAATTAATGCTCTCACACGTTATTACGCGCGCGCGCGCACACACACACACACACACACACACACACACACACACACACACACACACACACACACACACACACACACACACACACACATATACACACACACAGGTGGGAGATTACCAGTGGAGATGTAAGGAAGCTCTTGCTAGAGTTGGATGTGACAAAGGCTATAGGCCCAGATGGAATCTCCCCTTGGATACTAAAGGAAGGAGCAGAAGCACTGTGTCTGCCACTCTCCATAGTGTACAACAAATCACTGGTAACAGGGGAATTGATTAACAGGGGAAATTTGGAAAGCAGCTAATGTAGTCCCGATATATAAGAAAGGGGATAGGCAGGAGGCACTGAACTACAGGCCAGTGTCCCTAACCTGCATACCATGCAAGCTGGTCACTTCAGAAGGAGAAAATTGTGCGAAAAAAGCTAGTGGAACATCTGGAGCGAAAGAATTTTGTAACACAGCATCAACATGGGTTCAGGGATGGCAGGTCCTGCCTCACAGGGTTACTTGAATTCTACGACCAGGGAAAAAAATCAGGCAAGGAGAGGGGTGGGCAGACTGCATATTTTTGGATTGCCAGAAAGCCTTTGATACAGTACCACACAAGAGGCTAGTGAAAAAGCTGGATATGCAGGCTGGAGTGAAAGGGAAGGTACTCCGTTGAAAAAGGGAGTACCTAAGCAACAGAAGACAACGAGTCACTGTGAGGGGTGAGGGCTCAGATTGGCGAGACGTCACCAGTGGAGTCCCGCAGGGGTCAGTCCTTGGACCAATACTGTTTCTGATATATGTAAATGATCTCCCAGAGGGTATAGACTCGTTTCTCTCATTGTTTGCTGATGCTGAAAAAATTATGAGGAGGATTAAAACAGAGGATGATAGTAGGAGGCTACAAGATGACCTAGACAGACTGAGTGAATGGTCCAACAAATGGCTACTAAAGTTGAACCCAAGTAAATGCAAGGTCATGAAACTAGGCGGTGGAAACAGGCGGCTAGACA